TTAGCCAACGCAACACAATATTTGCAACTTCGAGCAATCAAATGATGATTCGAGCCGTGAGTGTTCGAAAAGTGACGAGCCAACCCAAGTATGAGGTGATACGATTTGCAGGTTCGTTGATAGTTTTAAGTAGGTAACATTCAAGTGCTCAGGCCACCCTGTGGCCTCCCTACTCATGAGTTTTACAGACTAGCTGGTGTCACAACGCAAAGAACACACGTGGTGTGTGCGCGCGGGATGGACACCACGCCCCCTCCCTTGTGAATCGATGGCCCCCCTTCCCTGGCTGAGCCTCGGCGTGTTTGGTTCCTGCCAGCAGTGGGTGCCTTGTGCGGTGCTTTGCAGACCAAAGGGTCAGCAAAAGCATTTGCAACTGCAGTGCGATGCCTCCCAGCATTGCTCCCATCAGAACATTCAAGGACATACCTGTTGTGTGTCGCAATGAATCAAGTGCCGGAGATGCTGGGCGGTTGAACCATTCCACGGTCTCATGCATCGACAATATGACGGGAGCCGCCATCCCGGCCAAATTGAACAGCAGATATTGCGTCTTAGCCGTTCGTGCAAAGAGTACCAGTTGCTTGATATCAAGCAGCACGTCTGCATACCAGGCCACCTTAAAGCACAAAGCTGGCCACAGGCCTCTATGCGTGGTTGAATGTCAGTCTCAATGTGAAGGACGGCTTGCAAGACATTGAAGCGAGACTCAGAGCGCTCTGAGATTCAGAACAAATTGTAGAAACCACACTACAAGCACCATGTCTGAAGTAAGCAACGAGTCAACACAGGCGTGCGTCTGGACCACTGGAAAACACCGGCACCGACAGCAATCTCCTATTCAAACATGTATGAGTACTTAATTTGATTGCAATCACACAAACCAAAACAGCCTGCAGCAAACATGAAACAAGCACCGATACCAGCACATTTGTGAAACGTTTGCTGTGTATCATAAAGTGTATCGTAAAGTTTCAAGTAAGGCTGGTAACTTTGAAGTTGTCAACTACTCCGCGAAGGGTGCCAGCAAAACTATGAGCACCCTTACTGGGAAGAAACTACGCACCACGTACACGATATCTAACCTGTAATAGTGCAATCCAACGGCTGCCAGTGGCCGTTTAGATGACAAGGACTAAGGTGCCGGCGCAATCCAAGCACAGCAGCTCGAACCAAAACATCGCCGTTTGCCCAGTGAGGACTTTCACATCCCAGCACGTCGTCTGGTCATAGACCACTCCGATGAGGTGGTCCCGCTGCGAAGTGCCTCGCATGCTCCGAAAAGCGGCGATGGCGCCCATGGGTGGGCCGTGCTCTTCGGCCATCGGGATAGCCACGTTGTCAGCTGGGTCCGCTTCGGCGGTGAACCACTCTGCCATAGTCCGGACGCATGTCGTGAAGCATGATGGTTCCTGTGGGATCTCCGTCTCTTCTTTCAGCACATCAGGTAATGTGAGCTTTTGTGGCAAAGTCTTGATGAGTCCAACTTCTGGTTTCGGCCACAGGAGGTGGTGCGACAGTGGCTCGAGCCTGGGCTCGCCTTGCTCGGTGGTGATCACGATGGATGGGTGGTAGTGGGACACACACCCGTTGTCGTCCAAGACCTCGTGGGCAGTCTCAAACACTCTCGTTCCCGACCGGCGACAACCTTCTATTCTAAATCTAACTTGCCCACACAACGTCAACAACGACAAATGACTCCAGGCCTCTTGCGAGGAAAAGCCTAGGACAAACTCAGAGGCCTCCAAGTGGATCACGGTTTCGAGGATCTTGGTCCCATCGTGATCTTGGTTTTCGCTGGAGTTCTTCACCTTCTTCTCAAGCCGTTCCTGCTTTTCTTTCGGCACCAGCACCAAGCTTTGAATTTGAAGACCTTCTGCGAAGTCCAAGCTCAAAAGAAGACCAAAGTCCTCGACCTGGTGCTTTGACAGTGCTCCTCCATCGTCGTACTTCCACTTGGAGGTCCACACTGTCCGTGCTTTAATGTACCGCCCAGCGATTGACGCCTGGTTTTCAAGGTCATGTTGGGCTAGCAACGCGTAACGCAGTGAGGACCGGTCAATCCTTAGAGCCACGTTATGCCATGTCATGCACCATGTCATGCATCATTGTGCATCCGTGTACATCCATACCAAAGACCCAAGTCTCAGTTCGATTTGTTGGCTGATGTCTTGAACATCGCTCCTTGCTCGGTGATCCGTGGCACCGATCCTCAAGGAACACGGTGCAGAAAAATAAGAACAAGCAAAAAAGGTGTGTTGGTTTCGGCTCTCGTGTGTGATGCTTCTTTGATGTCACAAGAACCAGTTGCACCCGGACGAGTCTCGGTGGAGGTGCAAATTCCTGTTGAAACTCCAGAGCTGAGGTCGAGATGTCTTGGACCTCGTGACTTGTTGGATCAACAGCGCTGATCCTCAGGAATTGCACAGATCAACTTGGAAAACGACGATTTCTTGGTGGAAAACGAACCGCTTAGTTCGCCGGTGCTCAGATTGCCCAGAAGTTCGAAAGATCCAGGACTAGGACAACCGGGTGTGCCAAAAGCATCAACAATAGGCTAGGTTGCAACACATTGGAAGTGGTGATTTCGACATGCTTGACTGAAACTCGAGCATCGCGCTTGAAGTCCAAATTTCGGTTGTCTCTCTGCTGGCAAGATGTCTTGGACATCGCCAGCATCATCATCCCCTCGGCGACATACATCGCAAAGACATGTGACCAGCGGTAATTCGAAACAGCTGTGACCTAAATGTTTTCAGCATCCGTGATATGCTTTGCCTCCTCAGCCCAGAACTCTGTTTCAAAGGCTGATGCCTCACCAGTGTAGAGCTGCTGCATCCCATGTCGCCTCCAAAATGCAAACAGTGAAACAAGCCAACTGACGACGAAGCATTTTGGATTGCCAAATCAGGGTAGAGGTGGCGAATGGTCATCCCAAGCAAGGAGACAAGGTGACTGGAACTGTTGCAAACGGGCTGAATTATATTGAAGGCTCACGTCTTGAGGTTGCCAAATGACACGACCACGGCCCGCGTTCGGACAGTTTTGGGGCACGGATCGGCTTGCCTTCTCTAACCAGCTGAGCATTACTCAAGGTGAGGCTCGGAGCACCTATGAGCACCTTGAACCAAATGGAACTGCAGCCTGCGCTGAGTCAAAGCCGAACTTAAAGCCTTTATAGTGCCACACAAAGTGAGAAGAACTTGAATCGAACCGAGCAAGATCCGTCACCGGCAGCTGTGAGTTCTTGTTGGATGTTTTCCACGCGGTCGAGTGGTGTGACGCAAATGTTGCAGAAGTGATTTCTGCAAGCTTCTGCGCGCGCTTGAATGCCGTCTTCATGCTTTGATAGGAAAGTGAATAAAACATTTAGCATCCTGTCTTCTTACAACGTCAATGAAGAATTTCGTCTAACATGTAATCACATTCTTCAGTGAAATCGCTGCGTGTTCCTCTTTGAAAGAGGTACTGCCCGCATGTTGCGAGGTTGACTCAACGTCAGCTCAACTTGGGAGCAGCAGAGTGGTCTTGTCCGTCTGTCTACGCAGCTCTCTCGAGCTTGCCAAATGGGGCGTCTTCTCGCTCAGGGACACCACCTTGGAGCAAATTCACGACTCGAGCAAACACAGGAGGATGTGATGGAGTGCTCATGTTTTTCCAAAAGATAACTAAATATATAGTCTTTCCTGTGGAAGAGAATACGGCTAGAAAGAAACAATGGAACGAAGATGCTGACGCGGAGTCTTTTGACTTCACATACATTCTTGCAAGAGTTGCAACACGCTTATCTTGAGCGATTGTGTCAAGCTCATCAGAGTGTGTCCAAGCCACACTCATAGAGTCATGAATGTGGAAACCGTTGTGTGCAGAGTTCACAAGGTATCACGGTATCACTCCGTGGATGTTCAAAGAACATTTGTGTCAAATTTCGAGCACGTCCTCCATAAAGTAGAGATCGAGTACAACGACTTCAAGACGAAAGTGCGTACAGTGAGAGATCTATATAGAGTATAGAGATTTGCAAGAGCAAAGACGTCTTTCTTGTCAACAATTGCACTGAGGTGATAGCCACGTGCCTTGCACACATGAAGGCTCTTTGCGAAAAAAAACAATTCAAAAGGACAGGACAATGCTTCTTGTTGGCATTCACGCCGGATTCAGGAAGTGGCCAAAGAGACACCCGAAAAAAGTCCAAAGGACTTCATCGGGCCCAGTGCTTGACACGTCGTGTCTTGAGAGGAGAATTCGACCCCCGAGCCCGCCGGATGTGCAGAGAAGACGATGACGAGGAGGATCTCAGTGAAGAGCTTTCAAAAGGAATGGTGAGCTTTCTAGGAGAAGCGTTGCATGAGTAGTGAAGAAGAGAGAAAACATTTGGGCACGGTGTTGCTATGAATGTCACTATGAGGAGGTCCAAATAAGGGTTGTTGAGGAAGGAAGGACAAGACGTGCTACGTGAGACGGATGAGTCAGCAAGAAGTTCAGCAAACTCAACGGCGGGGACCAAATTCGCCATTTGCGGCGTAGAATCCACCCCACGAAGCGTTCGGGCAAAACACGTTCCACAAAAAAGATGACGTGGCAAATGTCTTGGGCTCAGTCCTAGATTCGCGCAAGCAACATGTTGAGCTGGTGAAAATACAAGAACGGAGAGTCTATGTTCCTAATGCCTTTTCTGAAGATCACGACCATAGATTTTTGGTTTGTTGGGGCCCGTGTCATGTACCACACAAAAGAACAAATACTTGGCTAGAGTTTGCATGTTGTACAGATCGTGGAAAACAGGAGTTTGGCAACACTTTCGTCCATTGCATGCAGTTGCAACGCCCACTTCAATGGGGAGCACTGAGTGGGCAATTGAGCATCAACATGGGTAGTGATGCATGGACGGCGCCGTGGACCACCTGTTGGTGTGAAAGAGATGCTCTGCCTGGCTTTGTTCGTGCTTCTAGTTTCCACCAAAAGAAAAAGTGGCCTCAC